CTCACAACACAGGTAACCAATCAGGACTCACAGGGGGGGCAGTTCTCTGGAAAAAAAAAGAGGAAGCAATAACTGGCAAGGGCTGAAGGGAAGAAGAAAAAAAATCAACAGTGATCTAAAGCCCGTGCGGCACTTTCCTTGGTGACTGGGGATTCACGAGGGGAAACTGATCCCAGGTCTGTGAGCAGATGAAGGTTCTGTGTTTGCCAAAAGGGATGAGAACAATTTCCGTTCCTCTTCTGGATCCTCCAGGCAGCTGCTGCTCTGCCACATACAGACACAAGCTGTAAACACAAGGTAAGCCCACTGCTTATTATTCCACAGGACAGGCCCACTGCTCTGTCTCATGACAAGTACTCCATACAGCAGAAGAAAGTGTCAGAAGCTCTCCGGGTGACTGTATGTTGCTTGACATGTGCTGAAGAGAAAGTGAAAGTGTTTTTCAGGGAGTGTGTGTGCGACAGTTTTACGCAGTTTAAACACACTGCCAGAAATGTTATGTAAAAAAAAAATATATGATTTACTATTAATGGCAGCTAAAGTACAAATACATGTGCACAGCAGGGGGGCTGTAAAAACAGAGGTGTGTGTTGTGACCACCTCCACCATTCCCCGATTCCCAATCTGCTCCTCTCCACACACACACACACACACCACATTTCACTGTGTTCATTTAATAAGGCCCGGTTACCGCAAGCAACAAGAGGAGCTTATCAGCTGCTCCCTCACTTGCCATACTGTTATCAGCCTGGCCTAGTTCACACACACATACACACTCTCTGCCCCTTTCTGTCAAACACAGCCGCACTCTTTCTATCTCGGTCGCTCTCTCCCTCACACACACACACACACACACACACACACACAAACTGGGGAATGAATGTTATGGGGGCTTATCAGTGTCCTCAGGGGCCTGGCAACCACTTCACAGACTCAGATCCCAGCGCAGAGGCCACAGAGACAAACCTATGTGACCAGAGTACTAATGAACAAAGGCTCTGTGCTGTTACTCTATAGAAGCAGCAGGCTGCAGGGCACACTAACAATGAACATACAGTATGTACACATGGCACAATGGCAGGCAGCGGCAGCTACCACTCAAAGAAAGAAAAAAAAAAGCACCAAATGCAGCAGTCTTTGTCATCTGTGCTACATTTATTGATTCCAAAAAAAAAAAAGAAGCATGGCATGATTCCCATTCTGTAGATCCAGAACTGGGTTTTCAGGTTAAGTGGAGAGTAGCTGTTATGTTTCAACCTGTCTACAACTTCACATGAAAAGACAGTCAGAATAAACATATGGGGAAGGAAATCAGAATACGGTTGCAACGGTGTGAAATTTTCACTGTACGATAACTGTCTCAGAACATATCACGCTATTACAGAATTTATATTTCAGTCAGGACCAATGTAGTCAAAGAAAACTTTATTCCAATTTGCAGTTTTATATTTGGTGGAATGGCTCTGTTTCGGGACCTCTGCCTTTCCTACGCCTACGCAGTAAGCCTAAAGCAGGATTTACATCAGCTCTATGCAGACCCTACACCATAGCCTACGCACATGGCCTACACTGTTGTGAGCATTTACTTGTGCGGTGGTGTGTCTTTGTCACTCTGCAGTTACACCTCCAAAACAGTAGTCAGCGGCGGAGGTTTCTGTGAAGTGCAACCCCAAAGTGCTTTACAAATTAAGCATGGCTTATTAGAGACTATCAAACACACGTACACGAATCAGCTTCACTATAACTCACAGCATTCACAGACAAAGCACTTGTCTTTATCTGGACACATTTTCCCCATAAATACAACATGCTAATGTTTTTAGCACAAGCCTATGGCATTTTACATTGTTTAAATTAGCCTAGCAGCTAGCTGAGATTTCCTCTACTCATATGAAACCAAGGACAACAACAACAATTAACAAAGGTAACGGCACTAAATTTGGCTCCATTACAGCTCACAAGATTCACTGACAAAACAACTGTCTTACTCTGAACATGTTTTCCAAACAAATAAAACATGCTACCATTATTAGCACAAGCCTATGGCATTTTACATTGCATAAATTAGCCTAGCAACGAGCAGAGATTTCCCGAAGCTGGTTAAATCCCGAGGTATGACTCGTCAAAGGAGTTGACTCAGAGCCTACACCGTAGGTACGGCATCAATTCGATGCAGAAGTATAAATTCTGCGTAAGGCAGAGAGAGCACACCTCCCTGCCCCCCACCATGTACCTACATGGAGGGCAGGGAAAGCAGCAGCAAAGACCCCCGAGAACAGACCTTGATAAGTCAATAACATAATTATCATGACAAGCCTAGTTACAATGTCGGAACGGGTGTGCCACCTTACTAACAACCCATAACGCGAGGTCAACCAAATAATTGGTGTGGCCAATTAATCTGCACCGACAGGACATTTTACAAACTATCGTTATTGGCAGAACTTGGCTCTGATAGTGGGCGATGGCTTTGCAGCCTCCACTAGTCCCGTGGGGATGTACTGAGTGGAGCGAAAGAGACGAAGGTTGTGTTAAATGATCAGTGGGTACAGCTGCAGAGAGGAAGCAGCTCCCCTCTGCTGTGTGACTGCGTCTCACTGTCTTGTTTTTCACTTCAAGAAGTATTTGTATGAATTTTTGGGCTGGACCACAATAGCCGATCAAAGCTGCCGCTTCCTGTTTCAAATTAAAAGACTTCTCGTGTTTAACACACAGTCCAGCCATAAAGGCCAGTGGGTTTTGGCCTAGACATGTTATTTTCTCATGAAATAGTAAAACTGCCCATCACATTTAGGGGCGGATTATCAGACAATGGGGCCCTGGAGACAGCAATGCAAAAGCCCCCACCCACCCCCACAGAGAAGCAAGAGACGCACACTCTTTAGTTATTTGGCCTTTTTTGTGACATTGTTTTGCATTGCTTTCTAGTTGTGCATCTTTTTTGGGTTTTGTGTCTCTTACAGGTAATTTCATGTCTGTTTGTGGATGTTTTGTGTCCTTCTCAGGTAATTTTGTATCTTCTTTGTTTTTTTGTGTCTCTTTGTGGATGGTAGTGTTTCTCTGAGGTAATTCCTTTGTGGTCATTTTGAATCTCTTCCTGATCTGTACGTTTTGACCAACTTGAATGACATTTTGCAGGTGAGACCCAGAGGGGCTCCCTTACACTTTGAGCCTGTGTAATTTCTTCCATGGTCACATTTTCCAAGCGCCCAAGGTGACATCTTCAAATGTATTTGTTCAACCAACAGTCTAGACCTAAAGATATTCAGCATACCATCAATACAGACTAAGAAAACCAGCAGATATTCACGTTTTAAAAAGCTGGGACCAGAGAATTCTTTATATTAATTCTTAAAACTTACTGAAACAATGAATCAATTATGAAAACTGTTACAGATGCTGCTCATTTTTCAGTTTCAGCTCTAATGTCTCCTCTAACTGAGCATTGCACACTGCATACAGAGCATGGTTTTAAAAAGGCAGAACATTTCTCCTCACTAACTTTAAAACACAGCTCAGAGAAAGTAACTATCCGCCATTTTCACTCACGTCCTATGTGAATCATCGAGCACCAAACAACTGTGCACATCAGAGGGAAGTTGAAAATGAGAAGGCCATTGCTGGCAGATGATGTTGGCAGCAGTTTGGCGCAGGAACTCAGGAAGCGGTGCCTCCTAACTGAGCTGTGCTTCCTGTGTGATAACTGACCCAAACATGTTGTGCCTCTATTACACACACACATACACACAAACATATAAAGACAAAGAAGCGCGCTCAGGAACTGTGAGACTACCAAACTGAGGATTAATGGGATTAAAATGTAGGAGCTCAGTGATTATATTTATTTCCTTGGAGGCGATTTGTTCACAGTGGGAGATCTATTGTGCACAAAACCTTAATGCTGGTGTGATCTTTGACAGAGGAGGGCTGAAGGTAAGTGCAGGTGTGCCAACAGTGTTTACAACTTTAATCTGACGATTGTGAGGGGGAGGCCGGTGTAAAGCAGCAACAAAAGAGACTGAATTCACAAAATGCTTGACTTTAACCTCAGGATTACTTAAACAGAGGAGCAGGGATGATCAGGGGAATGGGGCCGAGCGATTAAAGGAACTAACATGGCCAGAGGACAAGAGAGAGGAGGCAAAGAAAAACAAGCGATGAGGAGAGAATAAGGGGGAGTCCAGAAGAGGAGTAGGTTTTGTAGTTTTGTTCTGAATGTCCCTTTCACAGTCATGTTGTTAGGAATGTGAGCGTAACGCCCCTGAAACCTTGAACGTTGTGCAAAGACATGATGTTTCGAGTTCAATGCCAGCTGCCTCCCCCCAACTCATACCACACACACGCCCAGGCACACATTGCAGTGCAAACGCTTCCTTCCTGTTGCTGGTTTGGCCTCTTTTAGAAGCAAGATAAGAGCAAAAGAACAAGATATATGAAAGGGGGAAGCAGGCTGTGCAGCTTTCTCTGCCTGTCGAAACAGAGTGACAACATTTTACTTTATTTGGACATTTTTATTTAAAAAGTCCAGCTGGTTACCATCTGATATTTGCAGCAGGTGTGAGACTCACACTTTGTGTTTTGCCTCTAACACATTTGCTCTTGTTTCTCTGTGTTCTTATCTGACAGGTTCAGTCAGACCACAGGACAGTTTAGCAGCCCCCACTTCCTCATCGAGAGTCGAAGCAGAGCAAGTGAACACGGGTTTCCTGTGACGCCTCTGTGTCTCTGGTCAATTAGTTTACTCGCATCACTCTTCCACTGTTGAACTGCGCTGCATGGACAGAGACTGGCCTCGTAGTATCCTGGGGGCAGCTGTCTGGTTGATTCACACTGACAGTCAAGTGCTGTTCATCTGAGGATTGTCTCCAAAAACTGGATCTGTCAGGACAAAAAGAAAAAAAACACATCTGACCTCTTCAGTTATTGATAGTCTTCAGAGGAAAGCTGCAATGCTGTTTTCACACAGTTAAAGGTTGTGTGTGGGTTTGGGATATTCAGCCATGCTGCAACAGTCAGAGCTCATCTTTGACTTTGCCAGTGACCACGTCAGCATGTCACAGGTAAGTGAATGTCAAGCAGTGATGGATTTTGTTGTGTGTGGTGAAACAAATTTCAATCAGAGAAATTCTGACCTGATTTAATCTGATTTTCTTTGCAGTTGGGGGGATACTCAGAGTATCCTGCAGTGATTGTGGAGCAGGTTCCACATCCACACCTGCTCTCCTATGCAGGCCTAGCATGTGAACAGTCACAGACAGAGCATAACCAGCAGCTGCTCAAAGGTCAGTGTGTACAACACAGGCAGAGATACACACACACACACACACACACACACACACACGCACACACACACACAAACGCTCCAGCCTTTCTTTACCTGCTCCATTCACATGTCATGACTGAAGCCCACCTGTTGTCCAATAGTCCAATCAAATGATAAGTAAACAGTCCAAGCTTTGTTCTGTGAAGGTTTTATTTTATGGAGGATGAAAAATGACAAGTATCACTGAATAAATAAATAAACTGTATGAATAAATAAGTAAATAAATATAGAAAATAATAAATAAACTGATAAATACTGGAACAATTAAATACATGTATAAATAAATACAGTAATAAATAAATAAATAAATAAATGTATGAATATATACAGAAAAGATCAATAAATACAGAAATTAATACATGTGTAAATAAATACTGAAATAAATTAATAAATAACAAATGTTCACATACAGGAAAAAACAATGAATATGGAAATTAATGAATAAATATATAAGTAGTTCCAGGAATAAATACATATGTGGATAAATAAATAAATGTATCAGTGACCATAGGAATAAACAAATAAATGCATAAATAAATAAATGTATAAATATATAGAAATAAATCAATAAATGCATAAATAAATAAACAAAAAAATTAATAAAAGTTGATATTTAAACACGAAATAAATAAATAAATTCTTAAATTTCTGTATTTATACAACTATATATACCTGTGTGTACTTCTGTGCCTGCGTGTCAACTGGGTAGGTGTATTTATTAATTTATTTCAGCATTTATTTACTCTATTTATTTATTTATTTGCTATTTATTTATTTAACTTTAATGTAGTATTTATTTATTGATACTTGTGTAATTTTTCATCCTCCATATAATTTCAATTTTAGTAAATTCAAAGTCCCACCAGAATCAGAGGCCTAGGCCTGCACATGCGCAGTCGCACCGCTCGCACGAGCACATGGACCACCCTCTGCAAAAATTCAGGAAGTGAAACAAAACATTTCTGGCTTGTGCCTGGGAAAGACCGTTAATGAATCATATTAGGATGTAGACGTGGTCACTCGGGGCTACAGCACATGTGCTATGGCTTGTTCCTCACCAGTGCTGCGAGTTGAAAGTAAGTTACGTTTCTGTTTCCGGGTTGTTTTTCCCACTGTGTCCCGGTTAGAGCGAGCAGTTTGAAGTTGGGCATGGCGAGGCTCGGTTAACTTAGCTAACGTTAACGGTGACTGACAGCGCTCCCGGACAGTCATGGACAATTTACTCCAGACTAACAACAGTTGTGGAGACAGCAGACTACCTGCGGTGTTTCTTTAGACGGGGCTGTTTGTTTGGACAGGTGCTTCGCTGCTTTGCTCGGCGGCACAAAGTGTTTGAGCCCAAAACAAACAGCTGTTAGCTAGCAGATGTTTACTAGCTCACTGCTGCACAGACTGCTCACGTCACACAAATAAATGGGCACAAAACAATAGATTTCCCTCTGATAATATTTGGCCTCGGGGACAAACATGTGGTAAGATGTATGCTGATGGATGTGATCAATTACAGAAGCCCACAGCTGCTTATATTGTTTGTGTGGAGGCAGCTCTACAGCCAGTGAACCATCACTGATATTATCTATCTGACTGTGCACTGCAGGGAAGTGAAAAAATGTAGTTTAATCTTAGCTGTTTGGAAGTGAAGACCAATATTAAAAAAAAATATTACCTATGTGATCATCTGTTTGGATCATTAAAGGGCCAGTTCACCCAAACTACAGACAAGTCTCTCTTAGGGACTGTTCGGTATTTATGAGAGGAGGAGGTGTGGTGCAGAAAGGTGGAGGCATGTCAAATATTTCTTTGAGCACTCCTTGAGTCCTAAGCGATTTTTAGACTTGTGCCGCAGACCCTACGCCGTAGCCTACACATGTGGCCGTTGTGAGCATTTATACTTGTGTGGTGGTGTGTCTGTGTCACTCTGCAGTTACATCTCCAAGTTTAGTTGAAAACACACATTAAATACACATTAAACATGGTTTAATAGAGACAGTTTCAGACACAAGTACACAAATCAGCTTCACTATAACTCACAGCATTCACAGACAAAGCATTTGTCTTTTGCTGGACACATTTTCCCCACAAATTCAACAAGCTAATGTTTTTAGCACAGGCCTATGGCATTTTACATTATATGAATTAGCCTAGCGGCTAGCAGATTTTTCCTTTTCTCATATAAAACCAGGGACAACAGCAACATTTAACAAAGGTAACGGTACATAATTTGCCTCCATTACAACTCACAAGGTTCACTGACAAAACAACTGTGTTATACTAAACACGTTTTACAAATACAACATGTTAACGTTATTAGCACAAGCCTATGGCATTTTACATTGTATAATGTATAAATTAACCTACCGACAACCACAGATTTCCTCTGCTCATATGAAGCCAGGATAAATCACACATAAGACTTGAAATGCTATTTTTGTGGAGGCTTTACTGTCTTCGTAATTTATTGTTTCTTATCTGTTACATTAAAGTAAATAAAAGCTTAGTTTCCACTGAGGGAAATGGTTTCAGCTTACAGAAATAGACAGGAGGTCTGCATCGCCGCTACATGTAGTTACATTTCTGGGGAGGTGCATGTCAGGCTATGGCGTAGGTTACGGCGTAGGCTCTATGTCGATGCAAAACGTAATGTGTGTACATCCAAAGTTTGGAATAGAATTACAAATTGTCAGAACATTCCTTAAACAGTCATTGGCAACATTAATGATCAATCTATTACTTGTGATTTAAAAAAAAAAAACACACTTTGTTTATGCCAAATGTGATTTTTTTTTTCTTCAACCAAAGCTCACAGCAACATCTTGCATATTCTCTGAGAGCATTACATAACCTGTGAAACATATGATGATGTAGAGGCCCAGACAAATGAAACGTAAAATATAACTGAACAATGCTTTACTTTGCCTGCTTGATTTTACAATGTCAGTGCTGCGTTCTTCTTCTAAACCCCAAGATGCCCGCCGTGTCATCAAATATGTGCACTCTGTGTTTGCCAATATTAGTCAATGAAACATGCTTTCAAAATAGACCACTATACTGTAAAAGGAGACTACAAATTGTATTTATTATTTATTTCTGTATGTATTTCATTGATTAAATTTTACATTACATTCGTATCGTTGATTGATCATTATCATCCCTTGCATGGAGTTCAGAATGATGTCATTGTAGCAGATGGAGTGTAATGGAAATGAGATTAACATCAGAACTAAAACTAATTTAGAAGAGCTGTGTTAAACCTTTCAAAGTGGTAACAGTGAAGGGTCACGGCGGTATGATATTTTCATGGTACGGTAACCATCTCAGAAAATATTGCAGTTTCTTGGTATCACGGTATTACAGAATTATTATTACTTTATCAGTCAGAATGACTCTAAAGGAATGAAAATTGAAGGGTTATTTTTGGTTAAACAAATGTTTTATTACTGTATTACTGTAATTAAAACTTGAAACCAATAATGGAAGTATATGTAAAAAGTCTCTCTTTTAAAAAAAATTTAAATACAGTTCAGATTATCTGTTCAGTTGCATTTCTTTTTTCAATATCACAGATAAGCAAATGTACACAGTACGATAACTGTTCATTTTAATATCACGGTACACCTTGAAACTGGTGTATCGCTGCAACCCTATAACAGTATCTATTTCACTGGAGCTTGGAAAGTCAAGTTTAAACCTAAGAGGAGATACATTTTGAAATACTGAGCTCACAGTCTGTAAACAGGCTCACTAGCGAGTGTGAAAATAAAAGCCAGCCCTGTATTCACTCGTAGTCACCCATTTTGGCGTTCTGTCTCGCTATATTTGCATTTTGTTTTGGCACTGTGTCTCTTGGAAGCCTGCTGGTTGTAGTCTGGCACCTGGTTGCTGCCTTTTTATAAAGCCTCGACCTCACCTGAGCGCTGTGGGGGTACACACTCATAAACATGCAGAACACAGAAAATATAGGCAGAGGCTCTGCAGATAAACACACCGCCACACACTTGTAATGAGTCATAAGTGATGATTAAGAGGGATTACGAGTCTATACATAGGAATATAGGAATATCCTGCAGAGTATATCTTTAAGTTAAAGTAGCCTTTTTTTTTTTTTTTTAAAAAAAGGTGTCTTTCTGTGATAACTGTGTATATAAAACCCTCTAGGCTCTAGTTTTACAATAAGTACATATTATAATATTCACATTGCTTTGAGGTGGAAGGCAGAAATTAGGGCACTGTCCTTTCTTTAACTTTTTAATCACTTTTTGCTGTATGAAGTAGTTTTTTTTTACGACCATCCATTACAGGGGATTATGAAAAAACATGGTTGTGTTTTGTTCCACCTTTTCTTCCACTCCCTGTTGAGGCTATGTACCTGTACTAACTGTGTCCCATCCACACTTCACTGTCTTACCAATATGAGTCAGTTGTAGCACCACAGACTCAAATCAATCTACAGTTTTATTCACAAAAACAGATTTTTAAAAAGCACAGTTTATAGGAAATAGTGGCAATGTGAAATGGGACACGCTGATAAGCAATCGAAAGCTTGAAAACAGGGACATGAAGGAGATTGTATTTTACAAATGTGGTTACGAACTGGAGATGCACCGATCCAGCGTTTTCAGTTTCGATACCGGTCCCGATGCTGTGGCTTTGAGTATCAGCCGATACGCGATACCGATCCGATACCATCGTTGACCTACAAAGCTATATACCTTTACATGTAGAACAGACTAGAGGCATCATGCATTGATTACTACACAGTTCTTTTCTAAGATAAAATGAAACAAGATGAAACAGATTAATGCAATGATGAACTATTTATTTTTAACATAAACAATTGTGCAACAGCAGTTGAAATAGTGTGAAATACCTCCACACAGCAGATTATCTCCTTCGCTCCATGACGTATGTAGTTCACGTCGCAATAGATTTAAAGGGAAAGGATCGCCTCAGGTATAGGTTGCATTTTCCGTTACCTGATCCATCTATTTTGATGATATCGGGGCCGATATTCGATCCAGATATCTGATCGGTGCATCCCTATTACAAACACGTTGTCTATTTCCATTTAAGAAAAGAAAATGCATGTAACACACAGTAAAATGTATTACCTAAAAAAAAACCTAAGACTAACCAAAAACCTTGTGACTTAACCACCCTAATGTTAACTACTGGAGACATTTTTTCCATCAGTCTAAACACTGGTTTCATATGTAAGATAACATAAATAGAGACACATGGAAGGTGGTAATAACAGTACAGTGTAAAAGGATATGAGTGTAACAAGTTAAGAATTTCCCAGCTGTTTAGGGTGTTCGTGCTCTAACATATTTTTGAAAACAGAAACAGATAATGACATTTTTTACAGTGTTATCAGTCTCTGCAAGCCACACTGCAGCTTGTACTTTTAAGTGTACGTTTTTTACCCTTTTATAAGATGCTTTTTTGTAGTGTCAGTTGTATAAGAGGAAAACTCAGCTGGAATAAGGTCAGAGTTTGCTGTTGAGCATAAATACAATGTTATACATTATACAAGCATTATAAAAGATGTTACATTCAGTGAGCTCCAGAAGACTGTACCTATGAGAAAGAGGGTCAGTAGGAGCATTTACCTTGGACCAGGATAAGGTGCATCTAACTTTTTTTCTGTAGAATCTGTAATTTCATCAGATAAATCGAGAGCTATTGCACCATATAAAATCACAGTAATATATATGAGGCTCAAATAAAGACTTGTATAAGGTTAAAAGTGCTTTAAGTGGAAGGAAAAGCCTCAGCTTGAAAAATAAGGCAACATATTTGGACAATATCTTTGTCAGTTCATCAGTATGACACTTGAAGCTTAAAGATTCATCAGTATGTATCCCCAGGAATTTGGTTGGAGTCATACTCTCACTAATTTCATAATTTATTCTGATACAAACATGTTCAACATTTTTTGAATTTTTACTGGAACATAAAATAATGAAGCTCATTTTGCTTATTTGGCAGATGAGAGCGTGTGAAGTGGAAAATTTGAAATAGATAAGCGTAGATAGCGTCCAGCCTCTCCAGCGGGTTGTGGTATGAATGCAGAGTTGACCGAACATACCAAGAAAAGAAAGCCTGAGACTAAACATTGACAATTACCAGACCACTGTCAAATCTTAGATGAGATATGTAATCCCTCCAGCGTGTTCTGGGTCTGGGCGTCCTACCAGTCGGATGAGCCAGGGCAGGAGGCACCCAGGAGACATCCTGATCAGATGCCAGAACCACCTCAAACATGTAGGAGCAGTGGCTCTACTCAGATTTCCCTCCACATGAGCCCAGCCACCCTACGGAGGAAACTCACATCTGTCAATCAATCAAATTTAATTTATATAGCACCTTTCATACAAACAGAATGCAACACAAAGTGCTTCACACAATGAAAACAATTAAACAATACCCCCACCCACTGCCCCAACACACACACACACACACACACACACACACACACACACACAAAACAAAGACTGTAATCGGAAAGACTAAATTTATAACTCATAAAAAACTGGGAACTGAGGAGAGGGGAAACACCAGAGGCAGGATAAAAACTCAGTATAGAAAACAATTTTAGATCAGTCAATAAATAAGTTAAAATAAATATGTAACAAAATAGAAGAATATGCCAGCTAGAAAAACAGATTACTAAAAATAAATATGCAAAAACAATAATAATAATAAACAAATAAATAATTAAAAAGATAAGGAAATTTAAAAAAAATAGATAAATAAAATAAAAATTAAAAATAAGAGACAATTTCAATTAAAAGCCAAGCTAAAAAGGTAGGTCTTGAGTTTGCTTTTAAAAACATCAACACTCTGTGGCCCTCAGGTCCTCAGGAAAGCTGTTCAACATACGTGGACCATTGTCATGAAATGATGTCTCACCGTGGGTTTTTGTTCTAACATTGGGGATGATTAAAAGGCCACGACCAGAAGACCTGAGGGTTCTAGAGGGCTCATACAATAAAAGCAAATCTGATAAATACGTAGGACTAAGACCATTATGAGCTTTATAAACCAATACAAGGATCTTAAAATAAGTTGACGCTAGTGCTGTCAAAATTGCTCAAAAATGACGTTCAAATATTCCTTTTAAAAATAACTCATAGGTTCGAACCATTCGAATTTTTTTTTTTCACATTATGTCCATAAGAGGGTAAACTACTAAGGAAACATACTTGTATATGTATTAATACAAGGAAACATAACTACTTGTAGGTATTTTTATTTCAACATAATCGTCTTTGGAAACATTTACATACCTACACATTAAAACACATTGTCTATAACATTACGTTATAAACGACCGCGGACCTCTCACTCGCCCCCCCTCTCACCGTCAGGCCACGCTGTCCACGGAAGTGCTGCGAATAGCTTCGAAGCGCCAAGAAGCAAAGCCAGTTTCCTTTCGGCGCCCATGTTAACCGATTGTGTCCTCCACACCGGCTGCACCAGTGCGTTCAGTGCAGTGGCCCAGGCCAACACCCACTCGCAAAGAGGGCAGCTGCAGTGGTGTGTTTTTTTTTCTCCACAATCGAATATCAATTTTCACATTCGAAGGTCCATTTTTTTTTTCAAATTCGAATTTAAATTCGAATTTAGAATATTCGTTGACAGCCCTAATTGACGCACACCATCAGCCACTTGTATCCACATTCTCGTTCTCTTGGGTCACTACCTACAGCTCGTGACCGTAGGTGAGGGTCTACATGTAGATTGACTGGTGCATCACTGGTGCCTTCTGGCTCAACACCCACATCACTGCTGATGCTGCACCAAACCACCTGTCCATCTCACGCTCCATTTACTTGGACTCCAACAACTTGACCCAAATACTTGAACTCCTTCACTCGGAGCAGTAACTCTGTCCCAGCCTATCTATTTGGGGGGTACATGAACCCGTCTGATTCGGCTGTGGGGGCATGTCAGATACAAAAGTTTATTCCACTGTCCTCTGTCCCTTAAATATCTGCCATTCAGAGGCAGGTGTTGTCACTTTCATTTATGGTGCTCACAGTGAGTGTTTGATTTTCCTCCTCCTCCACCTGCTGAAACTGTCCTGTATGTTGCCTTCTCATCTGCAGTGGAACAATGTGAAAGTGGCGAGGAGGAGACCATGGAGACACTTGTTGCTGCTGACTCGCTCCTCAACATGGACTGTCCTGACACCCTCTCGCTGGAACACTACTGTAAGCACACTCACCTGAGCTAACACCACTCACATGCCCGCGAACAGAGCGAAGATGCCCTGATAAAACCTCCCCGCCGCTTTTTGATGTAGGACACGTCTGACTGCGAGATGTTATTTTTAGACACGGTGGTCACAGCACTGTTCTCTTTCATTAAATCTGTTTACCCCCCCCCCCCCGCAGCCCAGACCTTCTTGCCATCACTGGGTGATGTCATCACTACTCCTGTTACCCAGGTGACTGTGTCAGCGGAGGGCATCGTGGGAGCTGTCGACCAGCCACAGTGGCACTCGCTGCACACAAAGAAGCCCGCGGCACAGCTGCAGTCCAAAAAGAGAGGTCAGTCACTTTCTGGGTTATCAGCTCGTCTCAAACTGAATTATGGGTAATTGTAAATAATTGAGTGATTATGTTAAATATCTTTTTAAATTACCTGCTTTGAATTTCGAACCACTCAGGGAGAAAACCTCGACACAGACGGGCGGAGTCTCCCACCCCAGATATTATAGTGAAGAAGGACAAATACAACAAAGGTAATTTCACACATTACAAAATTAGTTCAGCCCCTTCCCTTGAGACAGGCAACGTACGTCACTGTAATGACAACTTTATGTGGTGGTCTCATGGCTGAAGAAGTGCAGAAAGTCAGCGATCTCACTAGGTCAGACCTAGTTACGCTCTCAGTACGGCACAAGTCTGAATTTAAAGCCCCCAGAATAAAGGCCGGCTTATTTTTCTGCATTGAATCTGTGTTGTAAGGCCTCCGTAGGTGCGTATCTTACGGCGCAGCCTAACGGGCATGAAATGGAACCACACGTTGCAGCAATGCAGACTGCAACACCTGTTATTGGTCCATTTGGTAGCATTGCATTTTGTCCTGCACATTTATGGCTGCTCCTTCTTCTACGACAAGATGAACCAAATCAAAGAGAGTAGTAAGGGTGTTCATATTAGGTGTGATTGATTTTGTACCGCGCCTGAGTACGATTACTCCCCCTCCATTCACCTACCACTCAGTTCACTTCAGTTCAATACAACTTTATGTACCCTGTAGGAAATTCTTGTGCCGGAGAATGCTTCAAATTACAGTAACAATAGGTGGAGTAACCCCAATTTTAACAATTCCCAACCAGACAACCAGTGGGTTCCCCAAGTCAGGGTCACTCACTGGGCCCAGTTTTATAACAATAGAGTATTAAATATCTGACAGAATATACAAACGTACAAGATAAAGGTGTTTTCTAGGAGCAAAAGTAAAAACCAGTGCCTAATACAGTAACAGTAGGAGTAATATAAGTACAAGAGTTTCTAAAAATGAACTGAAATGGTGAAAGAGAAACAGACTGCGCCTGCTAATCAATGTTACATTAAATCTGATATAACAACGAGAAGTAGTATTGCACACTCAGCTTTCACATTAGTAATGTTACGTACCCGAGTACACTTGCACCTTCATCTATGTGACATTTTTGTTGTGCTACAGTGTAGAAAAGGACGCCGCAGACTAGGGATGCACGATAATGTTGTGTGTGGAGCTCCCCGCCTCCTGCTGAAGCTCTGCATGCAGGTCGAAGGCGACAGAGAAGACAGATCTGTGTGTGTCTGCAGCAGGCTGCATTGCTGTCTGACATAGAGGCATCAGTATTAAATTAAAACTTTGTATTTGTTTAAAAACTCCTTTTAGAGCAGTGGTTCCCAACTGGTTCAGCCACAGGGTCCAGATTTCTCCTTAGTTATTAGTTCAAGGTCTACACAGTTTAATATACTCACCATTGTACTTGTTTGGCCATGTTGTCAAGCTGGTTTGCTGTCTCTGTCAACTAGCTGTCTGTTAGTCACTCTACAGCAGGAAAAGGCACTTCTAAAATAACAACTCTGTGCCGGAAATTTACTGTGCTTAAAAATAAAGTGTGTTTTTTACAAACTTGACATGTTTGTGAGTCATAGCATATTGTTTGTGAGCATACCGTGTTGGTGTAGGGTACCCAGTGTTCACACCAATCAGAGGAACTGGACTTTGGGGTCAAGTGATCCAGGCTCGAGTCCCTGATGTGAAAGCCCCTGAAGTAACTGTAACACAGTAAAGTAGCATCTGCTCGACACTATGTAGAGCCTACGTACAACTTTTAATCAGCCTTGACGTAAAGGCTGCAGCAGCACAGACCAGTATCAATCACAGGGGATCACTTTTTACAGAAGTCATTTTCCACGTTGTTTCATTTCTTTTCCATCACGTTTCCTGTGTTTGTGCTTCAGGAGGAAACACACTGTACCTGTGGCAGTTCCTGATGGAGCTGTTGCAAGACCGACAGGTCTGCCCTCGCTACATTAAATGGACTAATCCCCAAGCAGGAATCTTCAAGTTGGTCAACTCTAAGGCAGTGGCCAGACTGTGGGGCAAACACAAGAACAAGCCAGATATGAATTATGAGACGATGGGGAGAGCACTCAGGTACAAAACAAAGAGTCGGCTAAGGCTAACCGCAAATGCCGTCATAATGTGTTCATGTGTTTGAGAACAATATCTGTGTAGATGTGTGGTTTGTTAACCTCTGTGTCCTTGCAGGTACTACTACCAGAGAGGCATACTGAATAAGGTGGAAGGCCAGCGTCTGGTCTACCAGTTCACCTCTCTGCCCAAAGACATGATCTATATCACAGACGGAGATGGCACCAAAGAGGAGGACGATGATGATCACGACGACAACGATGAGGGCGTGAGTGATGACTCCGATGACAGCACAATACCTTCTAGTGACCAATCAGTGGAGGAGGAAGAGTCACACCCACCACAGAAGAAAATGTCATTCAGCTCTGTCCGAGCTTCAACGACCCAGCGGACCAGGCCGGCGCCCAGGCCCTCATGCCAGCGTGACACCGTCCTGCGACCTGCCAGCACCAGCTTGATCCAGGAGCAGCATTTGCCTATCGTGTCCGCCGAGATGCTGCGGACCCTCCAGAACCTGCAGAAGGTCCAGTCCCTGCAGCCCGCCGGTCACGCCTCTGTCTTCAAAACAGCTCAGCTGCTGGGGAGTCTGTGTGAGCGGCAGGCCGCCGCTCAGGTGGCTGTGGACAGTGAGGGTGCACGGGAGATACCTGATGTAAAGTCACACCCAGGACACAAAACTTCACAAGTGGAGACTCCGCAGCTGGTCCCCCTAACTGGCTCTGACCAATAGAAAAGGACCAGTCAACCCCAAACACACACACACACACACACACACACACACACACACACACACACACACACACACGCACGCACATACACATACACTCCAGCAACTCAGGACCAGTTACAGAGCTGCACATTGCTGTGGCAATCTCTGCGCACCAGGGCCTTCATTTCTCAAGTGTGTCAGAGTGGGAGTATTGATCTGGGATTATTTTTGTATTTTAGATGATATTGTGAATTTGTAACAACAGTAATTCTAGATCACTGCTTCCTCCCTGACACCTGAGCCGGCAGGAAACTGGCAGGAACCAAAAACTCACCGCATTTAGCAGTTTACTTTCCAAGAGACTTTAAAAGCTCCTGTGCTTTGCCTTCTGCCACTCTCCTGTTTACACCTGGTGTTAACGTGCATGTTGGGTGATCAGAGCACAAGTGGACAAGTGCACATGCGTCTAGAGTAACACCTTATGATCAGATCTCTCTTCCTCGCTCTATAAGAAAAGACGTGAATCCTTTCCCTCTACAGTTGCTGAGAGTCCACATAGCTGCACGCACAGTGACAGGGCTAACTGTTAGCATCACACAGCTAACGGTTATTAACAGGTTCATGACAAGGCTGAGTTGTTTGGGTGTCAGTGTGAGTTTGTTGCGACTGTTGAACAGCTGCTGCTATGTGAGCTTGTGCTAACTGGGCAGACATTGAAGTGGCTGTTCAGTGGCAGGAGGAAAGCAGCTCCAGAGACGGTCCTTTAGCACTGCGTTTTTGTTAAAGAGCTCTGATCTGGCCCCTGTTCAAGTGTGACCCGAGCCCAGCTCATGGCAGCAGTTTAAAACCCTGAGTTTCTACTGTAAAAATATATTTTATATATTATAACGTTTTTTTTAAGTTAAAACATTTATTAAAAGCTAAGGGTGACACGTTTCCTTGTACCACTTCTCCAAATTCGCCTCCTGCTGTTATTTCAGTAGTCTGTCTTGTGACAGCTGTGTGACAGGTTGGGCAGGTTTGGTTTGCGCCCCCTGGTATGTCTAGTGTGCAGTGTTTCATGGCAGTGCGGCGAACAGATGATCACGGCTCTACACTGCCAACCAAGTTGCCTTGCAGTGATGGGCCCCACGCCGCAGATCGAGTCAGGCCCAGTCGGGCTCGAACAGAGAATCAGAGCTCGGGTCATTTTGTATTATTCTGTGTCCCCTCTCTAAATTCTGCGGGGTATGTGAACGCAGCACAGACTGAACTCTTCATGAGATCTTTCTTTTGAATTGCAGGGTTGATTATCAGTCAGTCGCTCCAATCGTAGCAGATCAAATCAATGGATGAGAGGAGCAGCTGCTGCAGAGGCGAGTGAAAGCAAACTTTTAGACCCAGCGCTATGCATGGTTAAGTTTCACTTAACTGCGCCTGGCGTTCTGCTGCTCCGTCTGAGTCGCTCTGCAGTCAGAGAGTGTGCTGCAGTGAATAATAGAAGCATGTATATATTCCAGCAGCCCTCCTAATGAGCATTCCAGCTCCAAAAATAGAACATCAGTAGATGGCGGCAGATATTGTTATCGTGGCCACAATTACACAAATGTGTGGGAAACTGCTCAGATAAACAGACGTCAGCTGAGACGGCCGTCCTTCAGTGTGGTCGTTCAGTCTTAAGATGCATTGAGGACGCATTGGATGCATTCACACCTGCACTCAGAGCTGTCCACTTGTGATCCGATCACCCAGGATGCATACTAACACCAGGTGTAAACAGGGCCTCTCTCTGGCCTGTAATCATACAAGACAACCAAGACAGACATGCACTGGAATCCACAGCCTTTCTGCACCTTCTGCCGACACACTTCACCTCCAGCGTCACGGAGCAGATGACCCGATCAGCACACTGTGCCCTCCTTCTCTGCCTTCACTCTCGCTCTTTATTTTTATGTACATGCTGAATCATTCCTTGAAAATGGCTTTGCACTAATGTTTACGCCTGCTGTACGTTTCTTCTCTCAGCGCCTGATGATCTCAGTCCATCGTGTCCCTGCTTCCTGTGTTCCTGGTAATCACGAGGTTATTGAGGGAAAACATTCCATATTATTATTGTTGTTTTTTTAAGATTACTGAATTATGTTTGTATTGTGAAATATTGAAAACAAGGGATCACTGTTATTTCTAGAATAGTAATTGAGCACTGCTGCTGTTTGTAGTTGTATGTATCCGCACGGTGGATTTTCCTTTTGTCGACAATCACCAGTGAAACGGCCTTTTTTATTTAGCTGCCTCGTCTTCACACTGCTACTATTTAGCCTCTCTGCTATGCACTCACTCTGTTTACTTATTACACATATATAAATGCATATATGGACCTCTGAAGCCTTTATATCTTTATGTATTGTGTGTTATATACTGTATGTCTGTGAACATGCTTGACTCTGTGCCTTGTTGCCATTTTCTCCCTCAGGTTTCGCACAAAATTAGTTTTACCGCACAGACTGTGTACTCTATGCAAGGAGTAAAGCGTCTGGCCCTTTTATAATGAAGTAATGTTGAGTTCAGTGTTTTCTCTTCAGTTGATCTTAGTTCAGCCTCACACACGTCGCTCCAAATGAAAACTGAGTTTGTAAGATTTAGGCCGGCTTCTGTGAGGCTAAACTTGGTTTAGGAGATGCTTCTGTGCCTTCGCCCCCAGCAGGGAGCCCTATGCAAAACTGATTTCACTTTATGAATGAGTAAAGCATTTATTTGGAATCCCCTCTCTTTGCTTTATCTGGAGGTCTGTTGATACTGTAAGTTTTACTGATATTGATATGAAAGCTTGTAGCAGAGGGAGAGCTGGAGTTTCTGTTGCCTTATTTTGGTGTGTTTGCTTTCACGCAGTCCGGAGGTGTTGAAAAGATGATGGTCTATTATATGAAATAAACTTAATTTTGTCATTGTCTCTGTGAAAACTGTCGTCACTCATTTACTTTACAGCACACAGTTTACCATCGTCAGTGGGTGAAGTAGCAGGGGTGGAAACACCCTCGTAAATGTGACAAAGTGGGGGGGGGGGGGGTTTGTGAGAGTGTAGTTGCACTTTTTGGAGTATTTTTACGTTATTATCACCAATACTTTTACTTTTCTAAAAAGGAATGCTTCACCCACAGAAGTACCATTTATAAATCAATTAGTCATGCCTTGTTACCTTGAATTTGTGAAGAAAACTTGTTTTTCTCTCATGCCTCCACAGAAAATGCCAATATACTGTTTTATTAATTGACTGAAGACAGCATTTGACAACAGAAAAACTATCAAAACACCCGTTTGCAGACTCGAATTTAAGCAGTATAATCTGTCTCATTTATCCAGGTTTATGCTCAGTACTTCCCAAACAAATGCATTTTCACCAAAACTTTATATGAAACTCATCTATGCTCAGAGTCAGACTCACATGCTAAGTTTTTTTTTGTTTGTTTGTGTTTTTTTTTTAAGTGAAAATGCATGTTTGGGAGGTACTGAACATAACGTAAAATACCAATGTATTTTACAACACCTGATAAATGTAATTAATTTATGTGTCATTTGTATTTGACGTTAATATTAGATCAATATTAAGTTCAAAATTAAGCAGGGTCGAATGTCTAAAATCTGGCTAAGGGACAAAGGTCATATAACAAAAGCCACAAATAAAAGCCCACTTTGTACATAATAAAAATAATGACTATATAATCATTTAATTTTTGTTTAATTTTAACTTTTAGTGCCAAGTAAGTGTGCAAGAAATAAAAAAAAGAAAGAACTATGCTTTTGTTTTTATTATTTCTGACAGGGACGCAAATATCTCGATAGATGAAGAATCACCCATATCCAAAATAATTAATGATTAATAATAATAATTGATGTATGTTCAAGAAATGTGGTATTTAAGGAATGGCAGTCCTCAGGGGTGTTTCTAGGATTTGAGGATATTAGGGGCTAAGTGTGGGCCTCTGAAGGGGAGTCTGAGGGATCCTCCACTGGAATTTTTTATTATTATTTATTTTTTTTATGAATAAGCTCTATTTTATTGCCTTTTAATACACTCTGGCATCTTATTTACACTTAAAAACTTATTTATTTATTTACTTATTTATTTTAAAATATTTTATTTTCCAGACTAAATATGAATTGTCATGTTAAAAATATTAGTAGTTGTTAGTAATTAGAATTAAGTGGAAACAGAATATTTTGCAACTGCCATCATTAAAATTTAAAGAATTTTGCAATGCTTGCACTTGAGTATTACCATTTTATGCTACTTTATACTTTTACTCTACATCTCAGAGGAAAATATTGTACGGTTGACTCTGCTACAGTTACTTTAAAACTTAGATTATTAATACAACACGTAATCAACTAAAAATATTTGTGTAGTTATGGGCTAGTTTAAACTATCCAGCAGTAGCCTATAGAAAGTGTTGTAGACACTGGGAGAGCAACGCTAGGCACTGACTGCTTTGCTTTTCAGCATGAGTCCTTTGGTAAAACCCACATCCACCTCCATCAGACTTGAAAATCAGTCCCTGGAAAAATGATCATTGCAAACTCTGGCTCCAGGCGAGAGATCACAGTCTGATTGCCACAAAGCGTGCAACCATTGGTGCCTAAATGCTAGGTCTACTGGAAAGCTGTGTAGTCTGGAGGTGTTTCTGCAGCCGGGATAGCAACAGTGCCCGCCCATTCTGCAAAACTAACTCATAAATACTAACTAACTAATAAGGATTATAGCTAAATCAAGGAACACAATCACGACTCTTAGTCCGCTCAATCCACTACTCGCTACAGTCTGCAGAGTCAGAAGATTTTGCTCTTTTATGATGGGGTGGTGACGGGGGCTTCGTTGCTGACAAAGCTGCCTCCGTATACGTCACTTGGCATCAGAACAGCCTATAGCCAGATTTCAACCTGTAGAGGGAAGTCACTATGCATATTTTTAACACAATAAGTAGAATTCAAATTCTTTACACTCAAATGTCAAGGTTTGAAACCTGAATCGTCAAAAACAGTACTAAATACCCAAATACATTGCTTTTCAAAAAAGGTGGTTTGGGTGGTTTATAGTTACTCTTTAAAATGAGCTCCACCTTTACTAGCTGCAACATTAAAATGTTTATTGGTGCACTCTCTGTCTTGTATGACACAGAGGACCCAAAACTTTAGTGCATGCATGAAATATGGCACATGATTAGATCCGGGGATTTTTATCATTATTATTTTTATATACAGCCTATTTAGACCCAAGCCTAGTCATTAATCATCTGGGGCTGAAGCCTTGGACGCCCAGGCCTAGCAACGACATTGGCAATCCTGTTTTACCCACGTGTGTTTTCATGCCCGAGAGCTCAGAGGTGTTGTGTTATAAAGCTGCCGTGTCATGACTCCTCCAAGCCGCCGGATGGCGCTGCGGCGCTGTGAGTGCTGTGTGTAGCCGGATGTTGACAGGCCTGCTGCTAGGCTCGAGCTGTGGCTGCTGCTGCTGCTGCTATCACGTTTCCAGAAGTCTCCACATTTTGCTAGAACTTTCCTGCCACTCCAGAAACAGCATCCACGTCCGCAGCAAAGCCATGGCAGCCGAACGGCAAGTTTACCGCAACATATACACGAGCTTTTATTAAAGTTTCATTCATTTGTGTGTGTGAGCAGCTTCTTAACTGTCGCTCTGTTCCCTCGCTACAGCAGCTTCCTCGATAGCGTCATTGACGAGGATCCACAGACAGCTCTGGAGGTAAACATTAGCGTTAGCTAGCCGTGAACACACACTTATTATCACGTAGCTCTGTCTTATCACAATAGCCTAAACTTATTCTGACTAGCTGCTCGGTGGTGTTAACGTTTCCGATGTTAGCACCGACTTTGACACTGTAACTAGCTAGCCGAGTTAGCTAACGTTTCCTGTTAGCCTTACTCTGCAAGAACAGCGTCAAAACTTATTGTACATTGTATTATTATTAACAGTCTATCAATACAGTTTTTACTTTAGCAGCACATTTATTTTGTTGTTCTTTACCACCATTATACAAGCAACATTTCTAAACAGTGGTGGATGAAGAACCTGGAAGTCACGTGTAAAAGTAAAGATATCTTAAAAGAAAATGACTTTGATAGAAGTAAAAGTCAACTATGTTGAATGACGAATGTTACTTGAGTAAAAGTCGTCGAGTGTCTGATATTTACTGTGCTCAAGTATCAAAAGTAGTGTTTTATTGAATGTAATTAAGTATTGAAAGTACAAGTAAATGCTCTTATTGGAACAGCAAGTGATCAAAATTTTATTTCATCCTTACATGTACACTAACTAAAATGGAGCCTACCTTACACTTGAAGAAAAAGTAGATCTTCTTCACAACTTAAAGGCTTTAAAGAATGAAATCCAGTTTTGTCCAGATAGATAGATAGATAGATAGATACTGTATTAATCCAGAGGGAAATTAAGGCACCCAGTAGCTTTTTACACAACACATACACAGACACAGATACACACATGGATAGAAGTAATAGGTAAAAAGAATTAAAACACAGCAGTGAAATGAGTCCCAGGACGACAACAGAGAGCTGTCACGACAGTAGATATGCTTACGATGGTCGTGCAAATTTGTGGTTGACACTGCAGCTATTGTAATGTTCAGTTCAGGAGTAATTAATACTTTGCTATCAATGATATGAATGCAGTTGAAGATAAATGTATGTACAGATACCAGGGCAGGTACAGATTTTTCTTGTAGAAGGTGCTTAAAAGTAAAGACTGTATTAAATAAGGAACGCTGGAAAATATGAAATATAAAAGCACAGAAGGTTAGATACGAAATGCTAACAGAGGGTGAATAAGCAAATTTTTCAAATTACTTAATTTGTCTGTGCCATCCTCCCTTTCTTCCCTGTTTTGTAGTAAGTAACTAAAAAAAAATTATCTGACTAAAAGTATACATTTTGTTTAGGAAATGTAGTTGAATCTATGTGAAAGTTGAGAGAGGTATAAGAACTTAGGTTATGTACATATACTCCCAAAAATACTTAAGTATTGTAATTAAGTATTTTTACTTTGTTACAGTTCACGTCTTTTTCTTATTCATAATGTGTTAATATGATATAACATTAGTGATAATTGTTTTTTTAGGACTAACAGCATGTATTTAGCGTACACTGTAATCTTCAATAGATTCAACTATTCTCTAATAAATTCTCTAATAGTTTTATTGCCTTGTTAATACTTAAACATATTTCATTCTAGTTTTTCTAAGTTCATATGTGAGTAATGTAGACACTCCATGATATCTCATTTTTTGCACATCTTCTACAAAACTGTAGGTTTATTATTGTAAAACAATTATTTTGTACATATTATTATAGCATTTTCATAGTGTATTTTTATTGTAATATTTTTAAGCCTTATGCATGTTCTTGACTGTTGCTTTTGTTTGTGTTTTATGCACCAAACACCAAGGCAAATGACTTGTAAGTGGAAGCCTACTTGGCAACAAGCCTTATCTTATTTCTAGAGGGAGAAGAAAAAGAAAAGAAACCAGCCTTCCCACTACTGTTTTCTTAATAAATTCCATAATAATATATTTTCTTAAAATAATGGTTGGTGTTGACAGTGTAGAAACAGAAGAGACAGACATGTCAGATTTTTTTTTATGTAACTTTTCCATCATTATCACAACTCTCTGAGTCACAACAGCCCTCTGAGCTGTCCATTCTAAATTCCATCTCTTTTCTTGTAGGAACTTAATAAAGCCTTGCGAGGAGACCCTGAAAACGCTGAGTGGTATTGCCAGCGTGCCTATGCCCACATACTTCTCAAAAACTACCGCTGTAAGTCTGCAGACATCTGCGTTGACAGACATGTTTGTGATAATGCAATCATTTTGAGTGAACATGTATGATTGTGCTCATTTGTAGTAGTTTTGTCATGATGCTGGAATTTCTAGCTTCAATGCAATACCTTGAAAAAAATGTCAATATTTGATACCATTTTAATTTCAAGATAAATATAACAAGTCTGCAACATGACAACGACAGCTTTTATTTTCTTGGTTAGTAGCAGAGAACAGCAGAATGACTGTAGTGAACACTAACAGTAAGAGAGAGAGAGCACAGCTGGTGCCAGTGTATCGATGCTGCGGAAAATATTCAGAAGCAATGTGTATGGATAACTTGATATTTTTAACACTAGTTTGCAGGAAATATAAATGTACAATACACAAACATAACATAGTTGTCCCCTAAACACTGTGGTTGTGGTACAGACTGTGGAAAAGAACATTTCCTATAAGATCCTTGAATTAGTAATCTGCCATCAGTCACTAAAGGAACTTGGGAATGCATGAATCTTAATTTTTTAAGTGGTACAGGCTGGATAAATGAATGTGGATGATAAACATAGTGTTGTTTTCCTTCTGCAGGTGCTGTTGATGATGCCAAAAAAGCCCAGCAGCTAAAACCCAGCCTTCCCCTTGCTTTCATGCGAACAGGGTGTGTATAATATAACATGATAAATAAATAAGGAAGAATCACATCTGCTGTTAAAGTTAAACACATTATACCTGTTAGGGAAGTTTTGAGTCACTACGACCAACGTCAAGAGTTTTGTGATGAGAAGTTCAACTTTTTTCTCTGTACAAGAATTGTTTTAGTCACTTAACTTCTTTAACAAGGTACATGATCCAAATTTCATGTGTCAGAACTCTAGGCCTGCCTGATCTAAGTGTATGTGGCATGTTTTTCTCTCCCAACTGCAGAATAGCAGAATACCACCTGAACCACTATGAGTCAGCTGAGGCAGCTTTCACTCAGGGACACCAACTGGATGGTGAGTACAGCTTGTTTCGACCTTGAGTACAAACTTTCCATCATCCTGCTCCCTACCAACCGCTGTTTGCATCAGTGTCCCTTCTATTCCACTCTCCTCATTGAATACAATATATTATATTATACAATATTTGTTATTAAACACTTTATATCTGAAATTAAAGCTGTAGTTGTGGTACTAGACTCTTCAAGTTATTCTTTGACTCCACCTTGCCTCGTCCATTTTTGTACAACAGGAGATCTTGTTGTTTATATTTGATGCCGTAGTTGATGCTAGCAGTCGCCTTTTTTTGCTGCAGATCTTGCTGCATTAAGGATGCATTCACACTGGCGCTATTTGGTCCACTTTAAATTTACCCTGGTCCGCTTCCATGGATAGTTCGGTTTGTTTGTAGTAGTGTGAACTCTCATTCGAACTCTGGTGCGGACCAAACGAGCGAATCCTGGTCCACTTGAAAACTGAGTGACTCAGTTCACTTGCAAGTGAACCCGGGTGCGGTTCGCTTACTGTGGGACATGCAAACGGATTATCCAGCGAACCAAAGAGAGGAACTGACGTAGAGCGCAGTGCATTTTGGGCAGGGAAAAAAACAGCGCAAACTGGGAAAAGCAGAAGTAAAAAAAGAAAAAGTTGGAAAATGTCTCATGGGCAGACGTGGAGTAGTGAGGAAGTGCAGGTGCTTATTGATATATGGTCAGAGGAATATATATCACATTTGCTGACTGCCGACTGACGCCAGGGCCACACTGCCTGCAAAGCGCAGCACACCGAAATTCTCGCGCGAGCCGGAGCACCTCCGTTCACATCAGATGCGCATTTCTCCGCGCCGGTCGACAAGCGATTCTGCTCCCAGCTGTTGTTTTTCCATCATGGGTAACTGCCTGGCTTGACACATTCGCTCGCGGCTCGCACAGAAAATAGACCAGACGCCAAAATGATCACTGCAGGGCCGTCGGAGCTGCGCGGCGCAGCCGGTGTGGATGACACAGTCGGTTAACATGGGCACCAAAAGGAAACTGGCTTCACTTCTCGGTGCTTCGAGGCTATTCGCGGAGCTTCCGCGGGTGGTGTGGCCCTGGAGTGAAGGGGATGGATTTGCGTTTTCAGTCCTGGCCAATCAGTGAGCCGGGTTTTCTTCTTCCTGTGCAGTGTGAAAGTGAACCGAACCAAATGAAGGTGTGAAATTTTTTGGCATTCCCCGCTCAATCGAACCAATCGACTATCCTGGTGTGAATGCGCCCTAAGACTACGCATTTATTTACATCATAGTCACATGACATTATGGATTCAGTTAATCAGGTAAAGCAAATGCATTTAACTCCATTTGACCACATGTTGTCGATCCACGTGAACCAGAATATTGGCCGTACTTAGACATGACAGAGTTCACTCTTCACACTGAGCTTCAATTGGTCTTTTATACTGTAGTCGGGCTCCAGCTCACAATTCTCTTCATTATCAGTTCATCTGCAGATTATTTTCTGAAATAGTTTTGTCCAGAAATGGTGAATTAATGTCAGACTACAAGAAAAGAAGTTAAAAGTAGATTGCAAATGTCCTCTGGGAGAGTTGTTTGTGCAGCCTTATTAAAGTAATTTCAAAAGGTTGCTTTTTTCCAGCTGGAGGTTTTGCAACACATCCTTCAGCAGGGCTGAATATGTTGATGTCTTTGTTTGTTTTCAGTTAAGTAACATCAGGCCACATGATGATGTTACAAAAGAGCTGTTGTGCATTTTGGGCTTTTAAGACCAAAAATAGTCAGAGCTGGGTTTGGCTCAAGGGATCCCTCCTCCAAGTCAGATAAGGATTTAAAGATTTTAAACCAGTAACTGTGAGTGTTGGTACAAGTGCAGATCACGCAAGCTAGTGAAGCCGGTGTCTTTACACATTGTTCACAACTATAGTAGCCATTGTCAGTCTAGACACCATTAGGCCAGGTATGATAATTACTGATGGAGGTCATGTCCATACATCATACAATATTGCCCTCGTGTTTACGTGTGTTTGTATGTAAGAATGGCAACAACTATTAATTTCTTTTACTGCTGCTACAGTGTCTCCAAACTGATCATCAAAATGACTGCATGAAAAAGATTTTAAAATCTCAAGGTCCTAAAATACTCAGCGCTGTCAAAAGAGCCTGAATCCATTTTTAAACACATTTTGAGATGATTGCCTGTAAAATGTGCATCGTCTATGAGCTGCTGATTTAACCACCAGTAATGTATTAAACACATCCTCTGCAGTTTTTGCTTTGGAAATTAATCTCATTTAAATCATGACGGCAGCTTTCTCCAGCGCTGAGTCAGACCACTTCAGACTTAATTAACATCACTGACACCTTCAAATGTTTGTATTAGATTCTGTAATTGAACTTGTTTTTTATATCAACGTATATTAATTAAAGGGACAGTTCATGCCAAAATCAAAAACGCATATTTTTCCTCTTACCTGTAGAGCTGTTTATCAGTAGCCTGAGTGTCAGACTGAAGCTCCCAGAACCTTCAGTCTGATAATGCTTCCATTGAAGGCGATTTACAAGGGGGAGGGAATTTGATTTTTCCCTAACCAATCAGTAGAGCTCAACGACTCACCCAGAATCTGACGTCATTAGTATCCATGCCTCGGGGGTGCTGAAAACAAGCGAGCATTGCCCGTTTAAAATGTCTCTGTCGTCGTGCACGCCCAGCTGCATCGCCGTTAAATCCATAAATCTCATACCTCGATAGCATCGTTAATGTGGTCTGTAGGATCTGTAGCGGTCGCCATTGTTGCTATCCTCACCAGTTACCCACTGGCGTACAGCTTGACATCAGCGTGGCGCTGATTGGCTAATCGCTAGACCCGCCCCCACCCCCTGCATTCATTGGTCCTTCCATCGTTTGGACGAGATAAATCGCAAATTCATTGCAGTATGCCAGACCAGAAATGCAAGCCTACTCAGTTGAGTGGGCGGGGTCTATGATCTGGAACCAGGCTAATTTATCAGTCTAGATTGTTTTGGTGTGAGTTGCAGAGTGTTGGAGATATCAGCCGTAGAGATGTCTGCCTTCTCTCCAATATAATGGAGCTAGATGGCACTCAGCTTGTGGTGCTCAAAGCTCCAAAAAATATATTTGAAAAACTCAACATCAATGTCTCTTTCCAGAAATCATGACCTGGTTACTCAAGATAATCCACAGACCTTGTTGTGAGCAGTTTCATGTAGGAACTATTTTCTTTCTACTGAACTACACTACAGATTTTAATCTTACTTCTCCTGAGAAAACATCAGGAGCACGAGAAAAGGATGTGGTCAGTGTGTCCGTCCACCATAAATTAGGCAGTAGCACCACAAGCTGAGTGCCATCTAGTTCCATTATATTGGAGAGAAGTCAGACATCTCTACAGCTGATATCTCCAATACTCAGCAACTCACACCAAAACAATCTACACTGATAAACAGAACTACAGGTAAGAAGAAAAATATGTATTTTTGTTTGGGGTGAACTGTCCCGTTAAGACAACAAGACAACAAATGTTCTTTTCTGTGATTTCCACAGTTTCTGACAAATCATTTGAGCTCTGGATCAGGCGATGTGAGGAGATGATGCCAGGTAAGTAGCTAAACTGAAACTTTTGTAATGTCTTTATTTTAGGTTAGAGCGGTACTTAGTATCCTAATAAACCTGAAATTATAGACCCACATCAGATCTAAACGTCCTTAATTTAAAGGTTCAGTGTGTAGGATATGAGGGGATGTTTGGACAGAGATGGAACATAAGTGTTTTCTTTGGTGTATGATCCCCTGAATAAAAGAGCAGTTGTATTTTTGTAACCTTAGAATGAGCCATCTATATCTTCAAAGGAAGCAGGTCCTCGTTGACGGAGATCACAATGTTTCTACAGTAGCCCAGCACAGACAAACCAAACACTGGCTCTAGATAGATTCATGATTCACGTTTTCATGTCAGCCACTGTGGGTGGAAGCCCCTCTGCACCAAGAGTGTGGGGGAAAAAAATTTTGGACATGAAACTGTCTTTGTTGAGAGTTATTAGCGGTTTAAATCACCGGTTCTTTTGTTTTGGAGAGGACAAGACCGCCGCAGAAAGTTCGGCTCCCGGTTAAAATCTCTTGAACTTAAGTTTTCACAGAAATAAGGCGAGCGTACATAAGCAGGTGCTAGGCTAGCGGCTCGTCTTCAACTTGCCAAACAGCGTCAGAGAAACACTGATTTGTAACATGAAACTGCTTCATTCAGTGGTTTTGCTGGGTTTAATCACCATGTCTGTTTACGTTGGGAAGGAAGAGACCTCTGCAAATATTTCAGCTCCCAGTAAAAAACCTCCTGAATGATGAACACTGAAGGAATTCTAAGCAGGAGAAATTTCAGCTTGTTGCAATCTGTAATCCTCACCACTATACGCCACTAAATCTTACACACTGATCCTGTTACTGTTTCAAAATATTGACAATGTTCAATGTTGAATATTGGTCAACAGTATTACCTATGGCCTTTTTATTTTAAAGAAAGAGCTATAGACTCCATTACCAGTTACCCTCTAACTTCTATATGCTATTTACCCCATGCTATCAAACACTAAGCTAAATGGCTCAGTCAGGGAGCTGATCAGGCCATCTGATCAAACAAATGAGCTCGCACACATCCATGAATCTACAGTGTGAGTGTTTAGGCAGAGCTGCTCAGTCCAATAAAAGATGCATGCCATGTCTGGGTGGTGTGTTTCTGTTTTCTGGTGATGCCTGGGCCCTCTGGATCATCTCAAGTAAACAAGAGCATGAGTTTTGACAAACACGCTTCACACCCGCATGCACACGTACTCCCGGGAGCGGTATGATTCATCAGAGTTAACGCTACTGATGTTTGAAAGCCCCCAATGAGACCCAGCTCCTTCATAGGCATGCTCGCAGACGGCGCGTGTGCACACACACAGACAAACGCACACCAGGGTGCACATCACCACCACCCCCCCCACTAAAACTTGAAAGTACCCTACTTGCGCTTGCTCACACCAGCAGCAGTTGTTTCTTCCGGTGACAGTGTTTACCACCAACCAACACACACACACACACACACACACACACGGCACCTGGTTATTTCATCACATGTGGCACCCTGCTTGTTTAAAAGTACACAAACTCTGACACACAGTCTTTTTCTCCAAACACCCCCCTCCTCACCATTTCAAACGCGACCTCATTAAGACAACATTAACACGCCTCCCGTCATCTCATCTCTCTTCCCTCTCTGTGCTCTCTCCCTCTCTGTAATGAAGTCAGTGAATAATGTATGATAGCATGCTGGTAAACGGTGATCAGGCTTGCTTGGGCTCACAGGGCTTTTAATGGGCGTGGATGGACCAGTAAACAAACTGGTGGAGGATGGGATAGTGTCTGGGTGTCTGTCTATGTGGGGGCGAATCTGTCTGCTGTAATTTCTTTGCTGACAAATGCGTATTAAGTTCTTCTAGCTTTGCCATCATCATAGTTTAGAGACTAGAGATTGATTTAGGGAGCTTAAGGCGCTGTATTAAATGTTTGCACCTGCCACTTGCTTAAATTTTTTCCTCTCTTTCTAGAGAAGAGACAGAGCAGCGGTGCCAACAGGGTGAGTTTCTCTGCATGGCCACCTGGGGGCATTGTTGCTCTCAGCATCAGCAGAGAGCAGCAGCTTCATGTGTGCTCCTGTTTCAAAGAAGAGAGTCTTACTAAGCTTATTTTTGTTGTTGTGTTTTTTTTTTATTTTTGTTTCATCCCTCTGCCTCATCACCACATCCGCCTCTCTAATTGTCATCCCGTCTCGGGGGCTGAATGACCCAGCAGACACCAGCGGCTCCAACTGTGAAGTAAGTGCATAAATGTAAACATGCCGTATCCAGGCACCTGTTTTTTTGTTTATTTTATTTATTATACCAGCGTAATGATTAACTCAGCCTCAGCCGGCCCATTCTGTATAACTTTGAATACAATGTACAAAGACGAGACTTGATAATGACAAGCTGTGTTTTATTACTTGAAGTTTTCAGTTTCATGAAGTTTAGATATTCATATTTGTAGTGGTGGTTTAAAAAAATGTCTTCAGACTTTTTTAATCAGTGTTCTGTGTTTGTTTCTTGCAGACATGACTGGTACCAAACAGAGGCTAACGTCATCGTCACAGTCATGGCAAAAAACGTACCCAAGGATGGTGTGTGTGTCAACTTCATGGAAAAAGAGGTATAAACACACACTTAAGTGCAGCATTGAAGTGAAGAGAGTGTGTTTGTGTGTGTGTGGAACAGAGATGGGTTGGCTTTCGGGTGTTTCCTCAGGGGGGCCCATTAGATGGGTCTCACACACACGCACACACACATATACATGCACACACACACGCACGCACTCCCCATGGACCCAACTATGCCTCCAGTGGTGCCTTGTTAACATTGCCCCCAAAGTACAGATCTAAGAACAATTTACCCTCCCCAGCTTCTCCAACCTCCTAATTGTCTGTAGATAGAAGGCATAACTGATCTAGGATCAGCTGCAGAGCCCTCTGGGGACAACCCTCTTTCTTTTTCTTTTTCTCTTTTGCTTTGCTCCCTTCCACTCCTCTTTCCCTCTCTCTGAGGGGTAACTGCAGGGCACCCCAGGGAACGGCTTTGTCTTTTCTAATAGAATAACAAACTGAGTTTACCCCATTTCAAAAGAAATAGTTCAGTTGCTCCGAATCACACAGTCACTTGTTAAGCTCCCTCTGTGGTGCGAAGTACAGATAAGTTCATATATTTTTTACTAGGTCAGTATATACAAAAGAAATTAAAGATAAAAGCCAGTGGTTCCAGTTCTTTTCCCTGGTGACTGAGCATGCAGCAGCTGTATACCTACAGACGGCGCAGGAACTCAACTGGAAATGAATATTAAGGCTTTGATAGTTTTGTGGAATTGCCCAAAAGCTACTTTAGCTAACTTTCTAAGCTTTTATCCCCGGTGAACTACTTCTTGCATACATTTGGTCCCAAATCAGAAAGTCCACTTTTAGAGAAGTGGTAGGTGTTGAATTGCAAACGATTACAAGTTGAAGTTCCTCTGTGAAAAGATCTGATGATGAGATGATAACAGTGAGTTATTCCTCATGTGGGCAGTTTTTAGTGCTTCTCTCGCCTGATATCAGACAGAATTGTCAACTTGTTACACTCCATCTATAGTCTGATATTGCCTCCACTCTAAAGCCCCTTTTCCACTGCATAAAAACACATTAACAGCTGCGAACATCTGGCTTTTGTATTTAACGGGAAAGGTTACAATAAGTCCAGGGACAAATGACTTCAGTAGTCAGGGGTATTTATCGGCTCCAGCTCCGATCGGCAGTGCTAAAAATACGATACATGGGTGGACACCCTAATTTTACTGCAAAATGCAATCACGGACTGCCACAAAATACCATCCATCTCCGTCCAAACAGCGTAACATTTTCACTGGCCTCCATGCTGCTTTACTGTTTACTGACCTGTTTTCTGGCCCATCCGTGATGTTGAACATGACACACTTGAAAAGCAAAAAAGAAGGCATACTTGTATATCAGTGGAAAAGCAGTCTATCACCTCTTTTAACGATGAATGTATAAAGAGGACTGGATACAATGTTGGAGGCGAGACTCGGTTCATTCCTGTGAGAGTTGCTCAGTGGTGCATGAAGTCAAAATGGTTCAACTGCCACATATAAAATTACCCATATAATCCGTGCTGCTTCTGCACTGTTCATCCCATAGAGCAGGCGCACTAGAGACTTCACCGGCAGAGCCAGCTGCTTCCGGTTTAGTGCTTTGTTAACTTGAATGGGGATAAAACGATTGAATCATGTAGCTGTTCTGTACTTTCAAAATGCTATCAAACCAAATGGAATAAATCCTGATAGTGTAACAAGTCATTTTGCAGGGGTTGTGATGCTCACAAAAATGTGTAAAATGTATGTATGCTGGGCATCACGTGACGGTGTAATTATACTGTTTGGCCATGGCGAAAATTGGCTTTAAAGCCTGGCGCACTTCATGGGGAGGTTTTCCTGCGTCTAAAAAACCTGCATACACACGCTAATTTTGTTGGGAGAAAAAAGGTACAACTGATTTCCATGGGCAAACAAATCACTACAAACAAACATATCTGCTTGTATTTAATGCTGATTTAAGTCCACACCGTTGGTTAGTCATGCTGACATACGTGTTTTGTTGGGTTTTTAGAGTGGAGCAGGGCAAAGTTAACATACTATGATGTCAGACAATATTAAGAAGACATGTCAACTTAGGACAGTCTCGATAGCAGCGTCTAACCTGTCTATAGCAGTTGCAGTTGTTGTTTTTACTCCTCATTGGTTCCTGTATCGCTTGCCGACACTTAACAATGGTGTTAGTCCCGCTAATCATTAGTCCCCCCGCAGAGCTCATTGGTCAATTTATTATTTAAATTGAGAAACTACTGGCTCACGTTGCAATGCCAGACAAATTTGTCGACTCAGACTCAGTGGAGTGGGTCAACACCAAGGTCTGGACAAGTGATTTCTGTTTGAGGGCAGCATTTGCCAAGTGACAAGTGTGTAAGGAGTGTGAGGATTTGGGCCACAGCCGAGTCCATGTCCCTCCAAACCAACAAGCCACCCGCCCACCCACCTACCCAGTCCCAGTGAGTGACAGGCTGTTAGGAGCTGTCTGACCCCTCCTTCATCACTGGTCACTCTGTGGCTGAAGGGGACAGGGCGAGGATACTCCTGGCCGACAAAGCAGCCACATCAGATGATTATTCTCAGGGACAGGCTGACACCTTCATTCCCTCCTCACTCCTGATCTCTCTCTTTGTTTTTTGTGTTTTCTAAAAACTACATTTGAGTCAAATTAAAATACTTACGCTACAATTTCAACACAGGGATTGTTAAATTATTATTTAACAAGAACAAAAATGACCGGCCTGGAAGGATAATTTACTTTATAATCATGGCACCATCTTCAATCAGACTGTGTTACATATTTGTATGTTTCCCTAGTTGCTTACTGCCTAACTTATTAGCAGCCAATGAGGGGTGATGTCTAATGTCTGGTGTGTTGTCTTTTCAGCTCTCTGCCACGATACAGCTGGCATCAGGGGGGACTTACAACCTCGACCTCCACCTCATGCATCCCGTGATCCCTGAACAGTGTAACTTCAAGATCCTCACCACCAAGGTATCAATGCACTTTGGCTTCATGTGTTGTTGAAACATCTAAATCAACAGGGAGTCCATTTTTTAGGAAGGAAATATTTATTTTAGCTTGGGATGTGAAGTAATTTCCATATTTGATTTCTCGTATTGAATTACGAATGAAAATGTAACGTAAGACTGAAGAATGGTAATCTGAACTGGCTGAAAACATAAAAAAAGTGTAATTTGAAATTAAATTTTTGAACAGCCAGGCTTAAATTAACGTATTAAACCATGAATTTAACTAGTCCCAGTGCTTAAAGACCATCTCGGAGCCGCTCTCATCCCGGTCAGTTCAACTTCTTCCCGGTTAGCACAAGCTAACCTAGCAGCAGCAGTTACCATCCAACACCGAGCCATTTGCAGCCGTAAACTCACACTGACATCGAAAAGTCTCAGCTCCGTTGTTTAATCCGTTGATAACCATAAGGTAATGTTAGCTGTGTGATGCTAACAGTTAGCCTTGTCCCTGTGTGTGTGCGTGTTACTCACAAGGAGCTCACACACCCGCAGCAGTAGTCTCCTGCTGTCTCATGATATACCGTCAGAGCGACAGCGGGGTAAGGAGACAATAAGATGTGTGCAGTTCTACGGTGAAATAAGATTTTACCCAATTTAAATGGTAAAAAATATAAAATATAAAAGTCATATTCACATGCGGGAGGTCAGGATGTCTAATTTGAATGCTTGAGTACTCATACCCATCCCTCATTTAAACCTTTGCATATTTTACATTCTGGCATACATTATTAAAGATGATTTTTGACATCTTTAATAGACGTTTTACTCTGACAGATAACATACACATGAATCAGAAACAAACATGTCAGACCCGCATGCTCTCAACAACACCTCTTGTGTTTAATGGTCCATTGTACACTAAAAGAAACATCAAAGCTTTGTGATGCTCGCTCTCTGATGTTGGATCACACAGTGAAATAAATCTGCTTTCTCTTTCTGAGGTCACAGTGACCACGACTGACCAACACATAGTAACTAGAATTGATAAAACAGCCTCAAACTAAGCAGATGACATGACTGCCAGAACACAATCGGTCACAGTTGTCAAATTTCTGGAATATCTGAGTTTTCAGAGGTGTGTTTAAGTGGAGGGAGAGTCAGGGAACATGTTACTACCTCTGTGGGGAGTCATGAAATAACAAGGAGTTCAACAAATGGGTCATTTTACGGATTATTCCGCACAACCTGTTTCAGACTTACAGTAGTGTGAAGTGGTGGCTCTCAGATGTTTTTCTTCACAGCACGCCCAGCTGTAGAGGAATATAAAACTGTTTACCACTTTACAACTTTTCTGAACTGAAAAACATAAACAAACAAGGAAGAGACAGCATTTTTTTGGGTCATGGAAGTACTCCAACTAAGTTTTTGAAAGTCGATGAAAAGTCGAGGAGATTTTCACTCAGGATCAGTGAGAACACCACATGTAGCCTTGCCGTCCCAGTAGTTACTCTCAACAATAAAGTGGCAGACTATTAAACATGACAAGGAACATTTTTTATGTCCCCATAAAGAAAATATGATGTGGTAATGTCGCACACTGGAGAAATGGTGGCTCTTCTCTGACAGGGCTTCAAATCTCTGAACTGCAATTTTGCTGTAGAGCATCAAAAGACATGATTTTATCTCTGTGTATTCAGGCACAATAGTAACTGATTATTTTTTGTGTCTTTGTTGAAAGTGTTATTGACTCAAATGTCAGATAACAGTAAAAAGGGAAAAAAGAAAACCACGCCGATGCGAGTTTAAGCAGCTCACTGAAATTGTGACTGATCATTACCACTCTGAGATTAACATCTTAATCTCCTCAATAATTTAAAGCACTGTAAAGTAGGCTGTCACTACCTATAATTCCTTAATGCTGCTAAAGCTTACTGTAGCTGCGGTGGAAATGAGAAAATCCACTCTCGCTGTGTACACTATGGCTCCTGTGGAGACGTTAGCGAAGTTCATCTGAGCAGCTAACATGAGATTCGCACAAATCCTCACTCCTGCACACACGCATGTATTAGAGCTGTACTCGCCGAGTGTTCCTCAGCACTATTTAAGGTGATTATGGGCCTAATGAGTAGGAAGGGCACTTTTTACTATAGACTAATTAGCGTGTATTACAGAGGATGTTGGCTAATGAGTGTGCTGGCTGAGTGTGTGCTGATTCAGGGTTTAGGCCACTGTCAGGTTTTAGCCTGAGGATCAAGAGGCAGGTCTTTGTGTGAGTTGTTTTGATTGTTTTTTTAATCATTAAGGGGGGAGGAATTCGTCTTTTTGGCCATCGATCACTCAGGTCTTGCCAATACAGTTCAACATAAAGCTTTGCTTTGTTCCTGGGGATCCTGTGAATTCCTAAGAAGTATTATTCTGATGGTGGGGGGTGATCTTTGCAGTTTTTGGCACACAGAATCTTCCAAAGCATCTGTACCTGTATCTTGTTAGAAGTAACTGAACAAAAACTCTTAAATGGAAATTTTCAGTTAGTAAAATGATAATTTACCACCATTAACCACTTATTGTCACTTCAACCAGGTAGTTAATCCTAATGTAGTGTTTTTATAACCACTGCATGGCAAAATACTTCCTTGGTTTCCTTGTGTAAATCAGACATTTTGACAATATTAGGCCAAATTTGCTAAGAAAATGCAAATATGAATTGCAATTTTAAATGAATTTGTCGTTTTAACTGCATATCTTTGACTGGTTTTCAACCAAGGCAGCATTTCATTACACTTGCATTGTAAAATTCTACAGATCTTTGCTGATTAACACTTTTGTGTGAAATGAATTAAAGGCCTGTCCCAAATATGATTTAAGCAAATAATAGCCTGGGTTATGAATTGGAGTTTTATGGTATATTATAATTCCTTTTCTATTTTATATTGCTGTGAAAACATCCACAAATTCCTCCTTTAAACAACTGTATTCACTCAAGTTTCTCTCGAAGAACTACTTTTTACAAGATTACACTGAACACATCATGATAATGTTATAATTTACCTTTTGTGTAATACTATTGTTACAATGAGAGCTTGAACGCATAACTCGATGCAGCCTTCGTCAGCTGTTAGTTTCGGCTGCTAACATTAATGAGCTCTCCCCCTGATGTCAACATGGATTTGTTGTTCACAATGTAGCATTATCAGTAGGGTTGTGCCGATAGGTGATCCAATCGCCCATCGGCGATAGAAGGGTTGTTTCACAATGTCTTTTTTAAATGACGATGCAGTCGCGAGGTGTGAGGGGGATACAGCGCGTGTGTGGAGCATGCTGACGAGATCGAGGCTGAACGAGGCTGAGTGAGAGGAGACAAAGGGAGGCTGCTTAGTGAGAGAGCGGAGGGTGGGGGAGATCAACGCCTCCGCCCGCTCAACACAAGCATAGTCGGGCATACTATAAGCGGAGCAGACTCCGCGAGGAATGTCTGCAGTCATTCGGGCTTTCATAGTCGAGCGCACTTCCGCGTTGTAGGTTCCTGTAAAAATGTCCGTGAAAAATCCCCGCGATGTGAAAAATACATGCCGAGCAGTCACTGGTGCGCGGAGCGGAGTCCGCGTGGTCGTAAAATCTGAGCTTTGCGCGCACAGGGCTTGCGGACGTCCGCTTTGAGTCCGCGCGGACCTCCGCAGAATCCGTTCCGCGTATGTTCCGCCCGAGTACATTCGGGCCTTTACACGCATGTCGCGGAGCAGTGAACAAACCAAACAACACAATGTCAGGAGAAATTGAAAAGATATGCCGTCTATGTAAAGCCAACTTGCTAATTAAGGAGCCATTTCATGTTCAAGAGTTTTATAAAGCTGCTCAAACGCCAAAGAGAGGCTGTAAGTGAACGTTTCAGCGGCGACGCATAATGACAAAAATACAAATACATCATCAGTGGATTCTTGTAATTGTTTCTTTTGTCAGATGGATGTAACCCTTCACCTGCCTGTCCCTGCAATGTCTCTGCTGTCATTCACAACACAGCTGTACTGGAATTTCCCTAAAATGGTCTTGAGCTTGGAAATTGGCAGATTTTCCCGAGTATCGATCCCTGCGTCCATTCACACATGGACTCATGCAGGGAAAGTACCTGAACATTTCAGGAATAGATTGCATGTGTGAAAGGAGCTTATGAGTACAGAGTCTATGATAATACAGTGATCTTGACTCCACAAAGTTTACTTCCACTAAAGCTGAATTCCACAGTAGAAAAAATAAAAAAGTTTATTAGTCAATGGCAATTTTAAGTGGTAGTTGTGTAATTAATCCAGCAGGAGACTGACGACCTTTATGGGAGATGAAAAAGACGCATAAAATACACATGTGCCACCTACATGAGCAGAGCGGAGTGAAGATGGTATTGATTCAGCTGACGTGCCTCTCAAATACTGACGTAAATGCAGTCAAATACATTATTAATGTCTTGTGCATTATATAAATGTCATTTCAGAAGTGCAGCCTGCAGTGATTTTAAACAGCCACAAAAGCCTCAGTGAATTTGGCCTATTGACTATTTAATTTAGAATTATACAGGAAAAGAATATTAACATTGTTGGATGGGTTTCAGCAGCATTTTACATTTAACGTTGCACAAAACACGCGTCATGTGTACGGCCCCTAACACCTGGCGGTGGTTGCACTTAGTTACGTAATGATGCATTGAGTTCTGTTCAAGTTAAATTATAATATTACCATCATATGCTCATATGTACAATGTAAAATTCAGTCTTGGCTAATTTATACAATGTTAAATGCCATAGGCATGTGCTAGTAATGTTAGCATGTTATATTTGTTTGGAAAACATGTTTAGTATAACACAGGTGTTTTGTCAGTGAACCTTGTGAGCTGTAATGGAGACGAATTTTGTACCGGTGCAAAATTTTAACACTGTTAAATGTTGTTGTTGTCCCTGGTTTTATATGAGAAGAGGAAAGTCCACTAGCTGCTAGGCTCATTTATACTACGTTAAATGCCATAGGCTTGTGCTA